CCCCCCCACCCCCACCCACCCACCCACCCACCCACGCACGCACACCCACGCCCACACCACCCCGCAATTTTAAGAGTACCCTAATTGGTTTCAGAAAGACCTTCACTGTGGACCATATAGACCGAGATGACGCAGAAGGCCGCGCAGCCAGGGGCGCGAGTCATGACTGCCGTGGTCCTCCCCTCGACCAGCACCTGCTGATCCAGCGCGAAGAGGCCGAATGCGTCGTTCACGAACACACAGACTCCAGAAGAAGTGCGTCCACCGTCGCCAACCAGACCAGGCGCCCAAACGGATTTCGACTTCAAGAACTTGGCACTCTTGGAGGCCTGGTCGAGGTCCACCTGGAAACGAAGACGATGCTCCTGCGCCAGAATATCATGCGCGTCCGAGTTCCCGAGGAAGGCTTTTAATGTACCCCAGCTGTTGGCGTTGACCGTGGTGGCACGGAGCCTTCCTTCCAGCTCAGAACATCCAGGCAAGCCGTCAGATGCCGCCAGGCGCGCATGGGCGGGGGCTGTCCCCGTCGCAGGACATGGCTCCCGCAAGACGGGGCGCCCTGACCGCGCTTGGCCCAGCAAAAATTCGGATTGCGGCAAGCGTGCATCAGCTTCCGTACCATCACGACTCACGCTCTGCATCTGACCAGCCGCCCCTGGGAGCGGAGAGGGATGGGGTTCATTTTCTCGGGGTCCTGGGGGCATTCGAATTTCAGACGGAGCTATAGGGGCGTGAAAAAAGGCCGCGGGCTTCAGATCCCAGAGCCAAGAAAAACGTCTAAAGAGTCAAACCCCAGACGACAGTGAGGTCGATCCTATCGAGGAAGTCCTGGTGGCTAAAGAATCCCACAAATCTTGAGTGCGGCGCATGCTCGGACTGATGGTGGGGCTATTGCCCCCCCTCCCGACCGAGGGGGGAGGGGGACCGGACAGAGCGGCATCAGCCCGAGCACGCGCATCTGACTCGACAGAAGAGGAGGCGGCACAGGGCTCAGAGGTTGCAGCGGCTCGAACATCAGGGTCAGCACCCGCGGGCGCGCCTTCCTGTCCACCAGGAGCTGCACCGTCGCCATCGGCTCCAGTACGTTTGCGCTTCGCTGCCATCCTCGACTTGTGATTGTCGTGCTCCTGCTTGGCCAGCTTCGGTTTCTCGGAGATCTGCTCGTGTAGTTGCCTCGCCAGGCCACGAACTCCACTGGTGAGCGAAGCAGCACGCTTTTCCACTTCCTCTTTGTCCTCATTGGTGACGATGCCTTCCTCTAGGCCGTCCAACTCATCCAAGACGTCAACCTGGAACAGCTTCTACAGGTCGAAGGAACCGTCCAACAACTGGCCGAGCTTGATGGGTTGAATGGGCGAGCCTCCGGCAGGTAGTTGAGCGGCGTCCGACTAGAGAGAGGCGACAGTTTTTTGTATTCTTCGTCAGTTTTGGCCAGTTCGTCCCGCGTAGACTTGACCTGCTGCTCGAAAGCCACCATCTCTTCGCGCCATTTGCCCAGCTTTGATAGTTCAGACTCCAAATGCTTCTCAAGACGTCGCATTTCTGCGTGCTGCTTTTGGACTTTTTGATGTATGCCAACCTCAGGAACCCGAGCTGCATGCTCAAGGTGCTTGGCGACGTCGGCGTAATATTCGCCTCGAGCCTTATCCCCCGCCGTGAAGGAGAGAGCGGACATTTGCTGCGCCTCGGCGATGGAGAGAGCGGGAACGGGTCCTGCGGGGCGCGGCGGGGCACTTCCTCCCGACTGCTCAGCTCCAGCCGAACCTTGAGCCGACGAATCCCAAGAGACCAGATCACTACTGCCTTTGCCCTTGCCCTTGCCTCCCTTGCCGTCCTTGCCGTACCCCTTGGAGTGGTAGGCGCTGTACCACTGGCCAGGGGGACTCGACAGCGCCCGCAGTCCACAGGGAGCCCGATCAGGAGGTGAACCCACGCGAGGCAGAAGAGCAGAGCAATGCTTGCACCATACTGCTGTGATGCGATTCTTCTTGCATCCGCACGAAGGGCACGCCATCGCTGTGGCTTGCCAGCCTTTCTTGCCGCCCTTCGATGGTCCCCCTCCCGACTCTGGCACTCCCGAACCTGGCTTGACTCAAGGAGCGTACGAGAAAGAATGGGTGGGAGCCATCGCGCGGGACAGGAGGTGCGGCGGGGGCAGTACAGTGCTGCGAATATGATGACAGTGAAAGACCAGGCTGAAAGCCTGGGAAGCTGCGGGGCCGCGAACCCCCCTTTGCCAAAATGCCAAGTCTCTGAGCCACAACGCTACGGACTTGAGCCAAAATGGCTACGGAGCTCTCTCTCTCCTCCTCCTTCTCCTCCTCCTCTTCCTCCTCCTCCTCCTCCTCCTCCTCCTCCTCCGCATGCGCTTCCCAGCTGGCATTTCCCGCGGATTTGGCGCACCGAGTCCGTGTCACACACACGGGTGTTGGGGTGACGCGTTATCCGGCCAGGGCCAACGATCTCGGTGACATAGTTTGTCGCGTCTTGCTGCCGCTAGCTTGAATCTCATCCGGCAGTCAGCAGTCGAAGTAGTTTTTTTTTCTCGACGTGCAGGTTGCACGACCAAGAAACTCGTGCGCGCGAGCGGGGGGGCCGCCCTCCAAGCGCTGAGTCCACTCTCTCGCCAGCCAGTCGACGTAGGAAAAAGTGTCGCTGAGCGGGGGGAAACGACGACGACGACGGCGACGACGAACCCTTGAACTGAAATGGTTGGCCCACTAGATGCAAGGAGGCGGGAGTGATTATCTTTCTGCTCAGCTGCCGTAGCTCCCGTGCGCCATTATGCCCGCGTTGTGCTGCCCTGCATTGCTTATTGTGTTGGACGGTTGGCGTCTCTCCCATTCCGAGTTTCCAGCACGCACAACGTGACATGCCTTGATCGCATATCGATTCCTTACACATTTGCTTTCCTCCGATCCGCCTCCTCCCTTTTCTCCCGTGGTAACCGTGCGAGGCCCGCGAGACCCGTGGGACCTGTGGGACAGGCGGGTCTTGTGGAACCTGTGGGACCTGGGGGGCGTATGTGGGACTTGTGAGGCCTACGACACCTGTGGGACCAGCGGGGCCTGTCGGACTTGTGGGACCTGCAAGACCTGCGACCCCTGGGGACTTGTGGGACCTGTGGAATCTGTTAGACCTGTAGCACCTGTGGGCCTTGCGGAGCCTGTCGGACGACCTGCGACACCTGCGGGTTTTGCGGGACCAGTGGGGCTTGCGAGACCTGTAGGGCCTGCGAGACCTGCGGGATCCAAAAAAGGGGCCCACTCTGGGGCGTGTGCGCCATAAACCGCCGATCCGAAAATCAGGCCCACGGTGCAGCAGGAACACCATTCTGAAGCATGTCAAATACTCAAGATTTCGTAATAAAAGGGAGGGGGTCTGGACCCTCCAAGACAAGCCATTTCAGACCTCCCCCGTGGGAGAACCCTCCAAAACATCGTCCCCAGACCCCCCCAGGCCCTCCCAGATAGCCTTGAAGAGACCCCCCCCGAAATGAGACCCCCCTCCCTTTATTACGAAATCTGGAGTAATCAGCCCCAATTCTGCCACAGTCTGGTCAATCTTGTGTCAAATCAGTACCCGGAGAGGGCCGACACACGCCTCGGGCATTGTCAGGGGATCGAGGAGCGCAGTTTGAGGGAGTTTCTGTGGAACTCGTGCCATCCTGACCCCTGGCGCGCGAGAAAGTCGCCTCCCAGCGCGCCCCCAAGGACCATTTCTGGCGATGCGCTGGGCGCACCGGGCGTGTCCCCATCAGGCGCCCTCGCCTGTCGAGACATCCTCGCAAAATCGCCCCACGAGCCCACAGCGCACCCCCACCTGCAGGAACCATCTCTGGCGATGCGCCGGGCGAGCCGGGAGCGCGTGCGCATCCCAATCCGGCGCTCTCGCTCGAATCGGAAGATGGAAGAAGGGGTCCGCAACGGGCATTCTGTCATGGGGGTTGAATGGCCCATGTATGTTCAATAGAGCGTCAATGATGATCGGGTTCGATTGACATCCAATGTTGGCGGTCATTTAAGGGCCAGTCTTACGTGCCCTCGCGTTGCCCGCGCGGGCCAACGCGCCGTCCATCCGTCATCGTTCTTGCGTGCGGGCGCTCTTGCACATCACGCGCGGGGCGGCGAAGTGGAGTGCAAGTGCGACTTGATTGTGCGATTGATGATCGCGTACGTTCCAAAAGGATGTCTTGTCGACCCCTAAGACAGATTTGGAACGTGTCCCGCCATTTCCCTAACATGTGAATTCGCATGTTCCTTTATTCCAGCATTTGAGTTCACATTGTGTTTCCCAACATGTGAATTAACATTCTGGCCTTGTCATAAAACATCTCCATACGTATTCCCTCAAAAATGGATCCACCTTTATTTTTTTGGTCCAACATGTGAATTGACATGTTCTTTTTCCCGGAGTTAGAATTTACATGTTGCTTTCCCCCACAATGTGAATTCACATATTGGCCTGGCTTTCAAGATCCCTCGAACTGAGGCGCAGTGTTCCACATATCATATTGGATGGGTAGATTTACGCACACACGCACAAACACACACCTCGTCGCCTTCGAGCATTCCACTTCAGGTCTCGCGCAGGGCTGCAGGTGGGGAGTGTCAACTGGTTCCCACGCTGAGCACAGCAATCGAGGATGCATCGCCCACGCATGGCCCATAGAGCCATTATTGCCGGGACCCTGCGTCCGACCACCGCTCTCCAATCGAGACGTCCTCGCAAAAACCGCCCCACGGGTTCCCGGCGCATCCTCCGGCGATGCGCCAGGCGCACCAGGCGAGGACGAGGACGAAAACGAGGATTAGCACAAGGGCCAGCCAGAGGAGAATAATGAGCAGGGAGGAAGACGCAGGAGGACGGAGGAGGGAGGCGGGAGGAGAGAAGAGGACGAGGAGAAAGCGAGATTGTGGAGGAGGAGGAGGAGGAGGAGGAGGAGGAGGAGGAGGATCGCCGAGGAGACGGCAAGTGCGCGCGCGCACGCCTGAGCGGAG